TTCGTTTCGACAAAATAAGAGAACATAACTAAATATTTTATTTTAAATATACGAAGAAAACTTTTTACTTTAATACAGAATCAAAATTTATATAAAACTTACTGTATCGATTACTTTCCATTTTCTTGAAAACTTTTTATTGGAAGTTAAAAAAAATTCTTTTATTCTTTCAAAATCCATTAGGATGGAAGAGATAATGTAGTTTTTTTTTCCTATTTATAATGAATGCTGAAAAAGAATATAACCATAAATTCTTGTCTTATATTTTTACATTTAAGATCAAATTATTAGAAAGTATATTTATAGGACCAAAGTTACTTTTGTAAATAAAATTTTGTTAGTAAATAACATTGTTAATGTATCTTTTATAAATTATAAAAATATAAAACTTCATAAAGAAAATGTAAGATAAGAACCATGTTTGAAGTATTCTAGAAATGTTACTTATGAAATTAATATTAAATACATAATGGTTTTAATGCTAAAAATTGTTACATCTTTTTATTATTTTTATTTCATTATGTATTCCACTCTTCTCATAGAAATTTTAGCAATTATTATCGTTATTGCTGTTAATGAATTTTTTGTTAACATTAGGTTATTAATATTACTTAATCTAAGTTTGTTAATGACAATTTTGCGTTAATTAAATATTACATAATTTAATTTAACAACACGATATTTCAATTTTTTTCTACAATAATTTCTTTCATTTTTTATATTGATAAAAAATTAAAAAATAATTATTTTCAGAGAAATTTTACGCTGTAAGTAGTAATTCCTCCCTTAATTCCATTACTTTCCAGCTATAAATACTAGAAATTTTAACGTAGTAAAATATTAATTTTTATTATATAAAGTTTCGAAGAATCGAAAATGAATAATAAAAATATCTTTTTTAAAAACGTAATACATTTTGTTAAAGAATGATGGAAAATTTTCACGAAAAAAAGAAAACTTTTATGGATGTTCTGCTTTTTCAAGACGAATTGCGGTTAAGTGGAAATTTTGGGTGATGAATCATCTCTCTAAAACAAACCTTCTGTAGCATCTAGCAAGAATACATCTACACAAGACTATAGGAAAGAAGAAAAATCCTGGAGTATCTCTTCTCTTTGTTGTTGTACTTCTCTATGTGTTTGTTCCGCTCGATCCAGTTTAGCAGGATTTCCGCCAAGAGGATTCTTTCCACTACAATATAAAAGACCACTAACTACTTCAGCTTCACTACGGCACGAGAAACCTCTTCCATTATTGATACTCTTTAATTCCTTAACTACATACAGCACGTTAATAGCAACATCATAAATCTGCTTAATTTATCAGTGGAGTTCTTCGTCTATTACCGAAATAAATAGTTTCTTTTTTATTACTAGCATTTTCCTAATTATTTTTATTGTTTTAAACAGGAAAGTTACTTCACTAAAATCGTTATGGCTGAGTGAATATTTATATTTATTTAATTCAAAATTAATGACAAAAACATATTCAACTCTTAAAGTATTACCAAGCCGTAGATGGAACTTGTTTCTTGTACTGTATAATGAAAATATGTTTCTTATATACAATATATAAATGACAAAAAATACTGTTTTTATTGCTGGGTTTCAATAAATGAAACATTTAATCATTCTATTCAATTATGAATACATATTTCTGTAAACAACGTCAGAATAACGTTTATTATTAGCATTATTATAATGCTCTGTAAATTACATTTACAGAACAATTTTTTTTCTTTTTTTTATTCAGACAAAGAAGAAAATATTTTAAAACTTTTTTATATTCTAATAAATTTAATTTTTAGTAAATTCAACTCGTCACCAAAGTATATTTTTAAGCAAAGAATAAATAATTTTGGAATGTAGTAAATTCATACAATAGTAAATTTCATTCAGGAAAAATTAATAATCTATCACATATATATTTATTATTGTTATTGTTATTATTATTATTATTATTAGAAAAGGAGAAGTTTTTAAAGATTAGTCTATTAGTTTTTTTGATAAATGTTTATAATTATATTTACATAATTTTTAAAAAAATCTAAACTCTTCAGCATCATTAACATTTAAAAAAAAAGAAAAAAATTTACAACATTTAATTATTTCTACTTACTATTTTAGAAACGATATTTCAATAGGAATTTCAACAATTTCTTCCAACAATCTAACTTTTAACGGGAGAAAAATAATATAAAATGTTGCTAAAATTAAAGAATCTTGTTTTTTATATTACAAAACAAATCGAATCGATTACCTTACGAAAGGTGAAATTAGTAAAATAACACCTCAGGATATTTAAATACGAGTAAAAATTATAAGTCGTCCGTGAACAATATTTTTTTTTGCAGCAATTATTAATTATTGAATCATACCAGATTAGATAGGGAATTTTTATATTAATACACGTCATTGCTTCCTTTCTATGTTTATACAAGTGAATTTAATTATTCCAGTGTCAGGTTAAGTTTCTTCTCGGAATTAAAAATTCTTTTCTACATGAATAATTTCATGATAAGATTTTGAAAAATCTAACAATAAATATATATATTCTTTTTAAAAAAGACTGCAGAGTCAGAATTAACTACAAAAGATGCATGCATTCAAAAGAGATCACATATAAACTGTATTGGTTTTAGTGCTTATATTAAATGTCATCACTGACATTTTTAGTAAATATCACATAGATAATTTAAAATCGGTAATGATTTCTCTTACATTAATTATTAATAATTTATATACCGTATATCTGAAATGTACAAAGCTCCAATTATAATGAGCATTGGCTCCAATTAATATCACTTTATCGAATAAAATAACACAGATATATCAGAAAGATTTAAAGATTAATTTTTAAATTCTAAAATTTTAAACAGATTCTTCTTTCTTTCTTTTTTTTTATAATTTTAAAAAGGTTTGTCACGATTAAATTTAACAAAATTCTTTTATATTTAAGGGGATTAACTGTTCTTTTGATATTCACTTAAAATATCGTTTAAAAAGGTAAACGGTGTGACAAATGAACAATTATTTTAAAGGATTGTCTAATTGAGATATGCTTATTTTTATATATATATATTTAAACTAATATAAAATTTTAAGAATGTAACAAGATTCGAATCTAAATTTTTGTTTAGATTTCGTTTAAAAATTGATATCTAAACATGATTTAAATTTGGAAAGTAATTGTTCATTTGTCTTATATTTTTTCCTCTCCTGAATTATACTAAAGATAAATATCTCTAAAGAACAAACAGTCGGTGAAGTGTATTATTTAATAGCGTTATTGCTATCTGATCACTCCTGAATTATTAATAAGAAGCATTATTCGATGTCCAAATTATCCGTTGAAAATCAACCTGGTTTGACAGTTGTAGCAGTAGTTTCGTTATTAGATCTACCTTCTGGTGATATTGTAATTGATGATGTCAGAGCTCCGATTATTTTATCAGTCTCCTTGCGTACTGAAAATATATAAAAATGATAATCATTAATAATATTTTTTTAATAAATAAATACGAGAAGTTTATTTATTAAAAATAATATGTATAAAATCAATATTAAAAANAGTTTCGAGTTGTGTATTAAATAAAATCAATATTAAAAAGATTTAATTTCAATGATAAATTTCAGACAAGCAAATCATATAACTTACGAGTGCAAATTTAATTAAAAACAGCAAATAGTTTATAGAATGAAAAGCTGTAAAATGTAAAAAAAAGGGTTGGATTACATATAAATAACTTATTTGAAATGCAAAATAATTCATGCACTGATGGAACTGTGAGAAAATACAACTGGCATCATTCTTAATCATACAAAATGGAAAAAAATCAACGAGGTAATGAACACTTTACTCCTTTGAGAGTTTATTTAAGATAACTGGCAATTTAGAAATGTTTCTTTCCAGCTTCATATTTTAGATCATTTCTTTCTCTGTAATAAACAAAATTAAGGCAGGAAATATAACTCAATGTAAATTGATATCTTGCGTAAGAAATTCCATCCAAATGTGTGCAGCATCAACTTGTAAATATATATTAATGTTTCCCAATCTTTTATGAATCATGAAACACAATAAATACTGAATTTTTAATGGGATGTTAGGTATTATTTTTTCATCATGATTGCCAGCTTATATTTTAGATTGTGGTTACAAAAAAAAAAAAAACAAAATGTTGTTCAAATCTTTTATGCAATAACACATGTTTCTTCTATGCATTTTTTATTCGCTTTCATATAGGCCAGAAGTTACCTTATGAGGTAAGGTGGCATCTATCATGATGGAGTGCATTCAAATCGAATCAAAACTGTCGTGATTTTTCATGAAGTTTGGATCTGGGATCTCCATTGTTTTACCCACTTTCTGGCCTTCTGTGCTAACGAGCAGACTTTGAAACCTGTCCTCTAACTTTTGTTTGTTGAAATCACACGTTACGAAACCCAAACCAAATATGTCTTACTTATTATTAACTTACTAATTTGATGCATTGATGGCAGATAAAAAGATTAAAATATACAATATATACGAGATAATATTACCAGATTTCTTAAAACATTTGTTTACTAAATAAATTATCAGAGTTTAATAAATGAAATACACTAAGCTCATTATTGTTAATAAATTTATATTTTAAATAAATTCATTTTCTTTTTGTTAAAAATTGAAGTAAAATTCTAATTTCAGCAATATGCAGGATTTCAGAAATTAACATTTATGTGAATTTCTGAAATCTAGTATTTGCATTATATTTAATTAATGATTACACTGTAGGCTTTTTGTGAAATACTGTCTTACAATACCATTTCTTATTTTATTACATATTGAAATCTGTTAATAAACCATTATTCCTCAAATAATCGATCAATAAAGCTTATTGCTAAATACAGTTTGTTTTTTAATCATATTATAGATGAAAATTTATTTTAAAAACTCATAAGTTTTCGGTTTAATACATTACAGCATTGTCATGTAATAATACCTTTCTACAATACGAGTAAAAATTATAAGTCCGTGAACAATATTTTTTTTTGCAGCAATTATTAATTATTGAATCATACCAGATTAGATAGGGAATTTTTATATTAATACACGTCATTGCTTCCTTTCTATGTTTATACAAGTGAATTTAATTATTCCAGTGTCAGGTTAAGTTTCTTCTCGGAATTAAAAATTCTTTTCTACATGAATAATTTCATGATAAGATTTTGAAAAATCTAACAATAAATATATATATTCTTTTTAAAAAAGACTGCAGAGTCAGAATTAACTACAAAAGATGCATGCATTCAAAAGAGATCACATATAAACTGTATTGGTTTTAGTGCTTATATTAAATGTCATCACTGACATTTTTAGTAAATATCACATAGATAATTTAAAATCGGTAATGATTTCTCTTACATTAATTATTAATAATTTATATACCGTATATCTGAAATGTACAAAGCTCCAATTATAATGAGCATTGGCTCCAATTAATATCACTTTATCGAATAAAATAACACAGATATATCAGAAAGATTTAAAGATTAATTTTTAAATTCTAAAATTTTAAACAGATTCTTCTTTCTTTCTTTTTTTTTATAATTTTAAAAAGGTTTGTCACGATTAAATTTAACAAAATTCTTTTATATTTAAGGGGATTAACTGTTCTTTTGATATTCACTTAAAATATCGTTTAAAAAGGTAAACGGTGTGACAAATGAACAATTATTTTAAAGGATTGTCTAATTGAGATATGCTTATTTTTATATATATATATTTAAACTAATATAAAATTTTAAGAATGTAACAAGATTCGAATCTAAATTTTTGTTTAGATTTCGTTTAAAAATTGATATCTAAACATGATTTAAATTTGGAAAGTAATTGTTCATTTGTCTTATATTTTTTCCTCTCCTGAATTATACTAAAGATAAATATCTCTAAAGAACAAACAGTCGGTGAAGTGTATTATTTAATAGCGTTATTGCTATCTGATCACTCCTGAATTATTAATAAGAAGCATTATTCGATGTCCAAATTATCCGTTGAAAATCAACCTGGTTTGACAGTTGTAGCAGTAGTTTCGTTATTAGATCTACCTTCTGGTGATATTGTAATTGATGATGTCAGAGCTCCGATTATTTTATCAGTCTCCTTGCGTACTGAAAATATATAAAAATGATAATCATTAATAATATTTTTTTAATAAATAAATACGAGAAGTTTATTTATTAAAAATAATATGTATAAAATCAATATTAAAAAGATTTAATTTCAATGATAAATTTCAGACAAGCAAATCATATAACTTACGAGTGCAAATTTAATTAAAAACAGCAAATAGTTTATAGAATGAAAAGCTGTAAAATATAAAAAAAAGGGTTGGATTACATATAAATAACTTATTTGAAATGCAAAATAATTCATGCACTGATGGAACTGTGAGAAAATACAACTGGCATCATTCTTAATCATACAAAATGGAAAAAAATCAACGAGGTAATGAACACTTTACTCCTTTGAGAGTTTATTTAAGATAACTGGCAATTTAGAAATGTTTCTTTCCAGCTTCATATTTTAGATCATTTCTTTCTCTGTAATAAACAAAATTAAGGCAGGAAATATAACTCAATGTAAATTGATATCTTGCGTAAGAAATTCCATCCAAATGTGTGCAGCATCAACTTGTAAATATATATTAATGTTTCCCAATCTTTTATGAATCATGAAACACAATAAATACTGAATTTTTAATGGGATGTTAGGTATTATTTTTTCATCATGATTGCCAGCTTATATTTTAGATTGTGGTTATAAAAAAAAAAACAAAATGTTGTTCAAATCTTTTATGCAATAACACATGTTTCTTCTATGCATTTTTTATTCGCTTTCATATAGGCCAGAAGTTACCTTATGAGGTAAGGTGGCATCTATCATGATGGAGTGCATTCAAATCGAATCAAAACTGTCGTGATTTTTCATGAAGTTTGGATCTGGGATCTCCATTGTTTTACCCACTTTCTGGCCTTCTGTGCTAACGAGCAGACTTTGAAACCTGTCCTCTAACTTTTGTTTGTTGAAATCACACGTTACGAAACCCAAACCAAATATGTCTTACTTATTATTAACTTACTAATTTGATGCATTGATGGCAGATAAAAAGATTAAAATATACAATATATACGAGATAATATTACCAGATTTCTTAAAACATTTGTTTACTAAATAAATTATCAGAGTTTAATAAATGAAATACACTAAGCTCATTATTGTTAATAAATTTATATTTTAAATAAATTCATTTTCTTTTTGTTAAAAATTGAAGTAAAATTCTAATTTCAGCAATATGCAGGATTTCAGAAATTAACATTTATGTGAATTTCTGAAATCTAGTATTTGCATTATATTTAATTAATGATTACACTGTAGGCTTTTTGTGAAATACTGTCTTACAATACCATTTCTTATTTTATTACATATTGAAATCTGTTAATAAACCATTATTCCTCAAATAATCGATCAATAAAGCTTATTGCTAAATACAGTTTGTTTTTTAATCATATTATAGATGAAAATTTATTTTAAAAACTCATAAGTTTTCGGTTTAATACATTACAGCATTGTCATGTAATAATACCTTTCTACATAACAATCTTTATCTAATTAGTAACAGTAGACCATATACATACTTTAGTACAATACTGTACTTGTGCTTTATTTAATTAGTTAATAAATAAGTTTTATTTATTTATTTTGAATTTCTGAAGTGAATTAAATTTACATTCAATAAAAATAAGGAATTGGCATTATCTAACAAATAACAGCGACAAAGNGTAATTAAGTGGAGAAAATTGGATTCAGAAGAAATGAATTCTGCCAGCAAAACAACATAAATTTTTATTATCTTCAGTAATTCCAATGTATTGGGAATACGTCTACATGCAACAGTATTCGATTTACTAATATTTCTATGGTCTAAATCGCTATATTCTATGTATTATTTTTAAAATTTTCATAAAATTTTACTTTAAAAATGAGAAAAATTACTTAATTATTTAAAATAAAAGCGTGAGCGATCAACCATTCTAATTAACTCATTTGGAAAGTATTAAATATAACCTAAAAACTTTTACTTGGATTTTTCTGAAAAGAGATGAATACTTTGATCGATAGCGTGATGGAAAATAAATTTATCACAATCTACTACATCAATATATAATGCGGATTTCACCGATGTAAAGAGAATTGGATAGTGTAAAACGATGTAAAATGCTAAACAACGAATGGAAACAGTAAATCTGAAATGACATTTTTATTGAAAATCAGTTCTATTCTATTAAAGTAAAGAAAAATGTCTAATGGAAAGCCTCTAATTGATTTAAAGTATTCAACATTGTTGTCAATGTCCGGTTGAAAGAATACATTTTCTATAAACTACGAAAAAGCGTAACGTCAAATGCATTACAATTGTAAAAGTGAATTCTTTTTCTTTTTTCTTAAATAGATCTTCTACAAAAGATAGTCGCATCGATCTGGAAAAATGGAAAAAATAGGAACTATTGCTTAAATTTTTTTCTATTGAAAATCGATTTGTATTGAGTTTTTGATATCATGTTATCAAGCGTTCAATAAAATTTAGTTTCGGAGTCATAAAGTCATCTTCTTCTGGAATTTTTCTTATTCTACAAGAAGATAGCTTCTTTGGAAATGCTTTTAAGCTCTGTAAAGATTGAGAAGATTTGTAAAATAGAAAAAAATGTTATTATTATATCGAAAGCTTTGGAATTGCGATTAAATCGAAGTCAATTTCAATATATTTTTAAAGAAATTTAAACAAAACAAAATGTAGAATAATTTTGAACAATCGATGAAATAGTCAATTAATCATTCTATATTTTCTCAAATTTTCAAATGGTTGGCTATTTTAATTATAATATATTATTTATTATTAATATTTTTAAAACGTGGAGTGACGAATTGATCGTTACTCTCCTATTTTTCTTTTTTTTAAAGCAATTACTTTAAAATAATCTATATAAATTATTCTTAGAACAATATACTTCTATGCGTTTTCAAAACATAAAATATAAATGTTTTAAGTCCAGTTTGTTTTAAATTTTAAAAATAAAATGCAAGCTACAAAAATAGATACGTTCACAAAATATATTTTTTACAATTTACAATTTTTAACACATTCGCGTCAACTGAATGCAGCGATCAATATTACCACATTATCAGAACTGTAACGTTCAAATCTCGATTGTTAAATATTTAAAAACATAAACATGCAAACAACCTAACAAATTAATTTAAACATTTTATGCATTTATAATTATATATACGAAAAAAAAATTAGAGACAGAAAACAAAAGGATTTTAAAAATAGTATGTCAAATAGATGAAGATGTGTAAATAACTGTTTTTAAAAAAAATATTAACACTAAAATCCATTTTGAATAATCAATTGTAGCATTGTCTTGAGATCTTTTATATCATTCGGAGTGAATTTTCCCCCTGAGACTTTCTAGAGAACATTTACTTCAATTTCTTTATCTTACCGCATTTTTTCCTTTAAGTTAGCAATTAATTTCAAATTTAGTAAAATGCACACATAGATAAAATGCAATAAAATATAATATTCGAGATAATTTATATTTTCCGAATGTAAAATATGAAAAAAAATAATTTTATCTTCTTTATACCATTTTAATTTCATTGCCAAAAATTTATTCCAATCCATATTGTGATCGCTTACACTAAATCATAATTTAAAATTTTCATTTTCATAATTATAATAGGTTGTCAAATGTGCAAAAGAAGACTCCATTACTAAAAATTGCAAGCTATTGTCAAGCGTATTGACTCTGTTTGCATCATCTTTACTACATAATCGCATCATTATCTATTCTATCGAATAATTTACTTTTTCCTTTTCATATTTTTATTAAAATATTAATTTAAAATTTTTTTTTGAATATTATACTTAGAGCAAAATTCATATAAAAGAATTTCAAGAAGGTAAATTGAATGTCTAGCAAGAATTATGGCGTGCTAAAATTCAAAATTACGAGAAAGTACGTGTAGTTTTAGGTATATATTTGCGTAATAAACTGAGAGAAGTTATTATTCCGAAGGCGATATACTAGAATTTGATATAATATTCTTTAAAATTATCGTCTCTAAGGTGTATTTTCAAAACTAAAGTTTTGAAAAAGCTTATATTATGACGAATAAGAAGGCAAAGTACCAAATTTTTAAAAAGCCATTTTCAATGAAAAATTCGAAATTGAGCTTCTACAGAAAATAAAAAATATTTTATTACAGAAAATAAAGACTCTTTTATTGTGTATGTGTATGTGTATATATATATATATATATCCTCGAATACTTACTATTAGAAATAATTATCTAAGAAGAAAGAATCAGAATAGATGCAAGAGAAATTCTAAATTACTTTTGTCCATACGAAAACAAACTATTGAGAATATGTTAATTCCGTATATTGAACGAATCTAATGAAATCAATGATTTGTAAGACAAATTCTATTAAATTTAATTGAGTTGAAATGTTATATGCAAATGAACTATCCTTGATGTTTGTTTGCTTCGAAGATATTTTAAGAAATTGAGGATACCGGAGAACAATCAATGCTGGGAGCAATTGGTAAAATGATTTAGATAAGGATTTTGCTTTTATGTCATTAATTTATAATGCATTATTAAATTTCTGATAGATTTACACATGAATTCATATTAATTATTTATTTAACTAGTTGTAAATTATATTTAANTTCGTCATTCATATCGCTTTCAAGCTTTATAATTTCAAATAAAATTCTGTTTATTTAATAATTTCAATTATATTTGTGTCTTTTCTTTTTAGTAATTGTTTAAATGCATAAAACATGAAAATGTACCAAATATTTATTTAAATGAGAAAACTGAATACAGTACTTTACAAAGATAAAACATATTGATTTTTGTGCGATGAAATTGAAAAATAAAATATTTAAAAATAGCAAAGAGTCTTTTTGACTTCTTTTCTCAACATTTTTTCCAATGTTTAATAGTCTACATCACAAAATATTAATTCTAAGTCATTGGAATATGACTCCATTCTACTATACTGTACGTCTTGTATCAATCATCCCAGGAGAAGATA